TGTTTCGCATAACAGGAAAAAGATTACTGAAAACAAAATAAGAACACTCATAACAAAAACAATGGTAAAAATGACAACTAAAAATAACAGCAACAATAATATTATTACTGCCATTAATAATAACATAATCAATAATAATAATACTCAGAGCAGCAATGATTCAAACAGAACAATGTGCACTTACAATCGTTTGAGCAACACTACTTGATATTTTCGGAAAACGACTATAAGATGCACAGTTCTCTTCAGATATTTCTTCAATCGCACGACCTATACCCATCGCTATCGATTCTTTATCCTGAATTAACGAACCGATTTGAAAATTTTTATAAAACTATTTTAAAAAATCATAGGACGATACAATTCTCAGAAGTACTCCCTCCATATTTCAATAGGTAGGGTCGATAAAGCTCAATGAATGTAAAATAATAACAATGACAACCTCTTGTGGCAAATTCCGTTGGCTGAAACTTTCATCCAGCCAGAACGATGCCTCCCCAACGGCTGTAACAATTCGTGGAAACATCCTGTGCGCACTATCGAGAATCAATCTTCTGATCTCATCATCATCCTCATCCTTAAAGAACATAAAAATCACTGCAAAAGAGTCCCATTCAATCAGTTTACTTTTCGATCCTTTTGAAATTGTCGAAAATTGAAAACTGAGATTTTCCTTTAGATTATTTCGTGTGTTCTTATTCTCACAATAATTCAATGACACTTTTGAATCGAACGTTAAAAACGAATATAATTTTATCCTCAGAATTATTACCTCAAAATGGGACAACCACGACTCGAAAACTTTTGAAAGATGAATCAATTCGTTCGCAACCTGAAAGGATCAATGCAGCGATAATATTTACTAAGGAAAGTTTAGTTCAGAACAATAAAACAAAGATTACGAGTAAAACCATGGAACAAAATGCATCAAGGATTATGTTTTCATAATTTTTTTTTCTTTTTCTTTCGGAAATTTTTTTTCGAAACCAAGGGTTTCGGAAGATGATCACAAAAACGCTTCTGAATATTATAAGATGAGAAATAAGAAGTAAAAAAATGTGACAGAACATAAGAGGTCAACGAGAGAATGATCATATCGAATATTTGATGTGTTCGTCGTACCTCAGTTACACGAAATTCGGCATCTGATGAAGTGATACGACTCGATGAGAGTATTGAAACGATTTGATCGAGTTGTGCGAGCGATTGGGCCAGAGCACAGGTACTTGTGAAGAAGGGCATTCCTTTAATGACGCGCTTATCAATCGATCGAAGCGTTGGCATCAGACTGCGGATGTCCGATAGAATATCCAACACAACAGACATTAATCCATATCCTTCTTTGCGGGACTCTCTTCCTTAATTACGATTATAAACATGACTGAACATTGATATCGTTACCTTGCAGTGATGACATAAATTCCTTCAAATTGATCAAATTCATAAAATGAGATGCAAATATG